TTTTTTTTTTTTTCCTTTTTTAGGATTAGTGATTACATGGATCTGACCCCTGTAGATATCGTAGGGAAGAGATGTTACCACTTCATTCATGCTGAAGATGTGGAAGGCATCAGACATAGTCACTTAGACTGTAAGTACTTCCATTTTTGTCAAAATAATCTCGTACAACACTTGATTGTTCCTGAACTATTGTTTATATTCCATGACTGGAGTCTTCATCTTGCACCTGCTTTTTTTGTCATACTGTTTCATAAAGGGTGGCTCAAATATAACTTTTTTGTATGATTTCTTTTCAAGTCTTTTTATAGACATATAAGATTGCTCACATATGTGGAAATAAGAAATTGTATTTGTATTATCAGAGTTTCCAGCAGCTGTTCATTTACACATGCTGTGCATTATTCTAATCCTTCAAAGAGGTATTGCTTAGGTGAGAAACTCCCTCCCTAACACAGAAAATTAACTCCTTTCTTTGTTTTTATTTCTGAGTCATAACATGGAGGTCAAAAACTACAGCATATTTGGGATTTCACCAGATTTTTCAATACAGACCTGAGCTACAGCTCTACTGGTGTTTTAACCACCCCACGTATTAACATCTACATAGCCCCCATCCCTATAGCATCTAAGTCCCTGTTATTTGCACACAGGTAGTATCTGATCAGGATAACAGAAGTACAAAAATGTTACAAGAGACAAACCTTACCAGAGAGAGCATGTGCGTATGTCTGTGTATGGGGGAAGGGAGGTTCAGCTTGGTTCCTTGTAATTAAACTCTTTATATTTCTTTTATTAAAAGCCATAGGGCCTAATTCTTTTCTTGTTGAGATCTGTTGACTTCAGTGATGGTGCTCCTGATTTACCCTGGTGCGAAAAGAGACTTAGGCCCATAATCTCTAATTTATCTGTGCCTGCAGTGAAGCCAGATAATTCTTTGGAAGTTTCGGTGGCTGACTGCATTTATGATTGACTTGTGTGTTTTTCTTAATATAAAAGACTATCTGCAAACTGCCTCTTAAATTCAGAGTCCAGATTTGAATAACTCTGCTCCTTCTGCACTGTGTCGTGCTAGCATTTCCTAATAAAAGGGCAGCAACCTGAATACAGCCACATTTAATTAGCTTTTACAGAACCATATGACTACAATAGAAAGCAGTATAAATCTTCAGTCCAAAAGTGCCTTGCTTGATCTGCAAGGGAAGATAGGTGGATAACTGCAACTGGAAAGCAGGAGAACAGGGACAGCTTCTATGATAATATATGGCAGCCAACAACAGTATCAAGCTCTGTAAAACTGTCAAATAGTCCCTGAAGTTTCTAGAAGGTAAAGTGCATTTGCCATAAGAAGGTCAGGTTAGATGCATTTCTGTGGAAAAAAAAAAACAAAATCAACTATCCAAAATTATAAACACAGTAAACTTGCATCATTTACATTCTGAGCATTTAATGTCCAGGAGACTATGTCAGTTGCTCAGAAATGAAGGAACAAATTCAGAAACTTACTTGATGCTCTTGAAACTGGAAGTCAAAATGACAAGTTGCACTTCCACTGCACTATCTGACCAAGGAAATAAAAGATATTTATGACTCAGACTTAACACACCACCTGGCAGAGATGAACATCCCATTTGGAAAAGACTTTAATCTTCTGAATGACCACTTCTCTCTGAAATAGAATATGCTTTATGAAACATTCATCTTCAGAAAACTGAGAGACCTATGCAGACAGTGTGAGTGCAGTGTGGTCCAGTGTATAAGCACTGGACCAGCAGGACTCAGGAAACCCTGGAAACAGGAATGACTTCTGGAAAAATCACTTCAACTTACTGGTTCCTGCTCTCACTGTATGTCCAGTTCAGCTGATTGGATTGCAAGCTTTATAAACACAGGGACTTTTTCCCATTATCAGCATCCGGCGCAGCGAGGGTCCAAACTTGTCTGTGTGGATGCAGCGTAATTATTCTTGCTAGACTAATTTTTTTTCAATAGATGAGGCTGGTTACATCTTTCATGTATAATTGTTCTCTTGACTTATAGGAATAAGATGTTCATAGAATCATTCAGGTTGGAAAGGGCTCTGCGACATGATCTAGTCCCACCTCATGCTCAAAACAGGATCAACACTGATTCAAAGCAAATTGTTTTGCACTTTGTCTAGTTGATCTTGAAAACCTTCAAGGTCAGACTTTCCACAACTTTTCTGAGTGGCCTGTTCCAATTGTTTTTAATAAGGGCTTGATTATCCTCACGATGATTTATTTTTTTTTCCTTCTACCCAGTTGGAATTTCCCTGGTTTGATTGTGCAGCTCATGGCTCCATCTTTGTAGTAACTTCCTTGCAGGTATGCTCTTAGGTCCTCCTGAAGCCACCTCTTCTTCAGACTGAACAAGCTCTTCCTCACAGGGCGAGTACTCCAGCCTCCGACCATTTTGACAGACCTCTGCTAAGTCCCCTGAAGTTTATCAATATATTTCCTGTGCTGGGAGCCTGAAGTTAGATTCCAGATGAAATCTAAAGAGTGATGAGTAAAGGAGAGTGATGACTTTCTGTGATCTACTGGCTATACGTTTTTTGGTACAGCCCATACAGCACACTGCTAGTTTGTGCTTAGCACACTATCCACTAGGGCCCCCAGGTCCTTTTCCACAAAGCAACAAGCCTGTCAGTCCCCAGCCATGTACCATTGCAGGGAATCAGTCCATCCCAGGTACAGGACTTTGCATTTGTCTGTTCATGTTGTTCAAACTCATGCTCTGGATGAAAGATCTTCAAGTTCAAATTACACCTGGCAATAGCTCAGGAAGTATACTTGCCCATTGTAAGTCCTGCAGAAGCTGAAGTGGCTCATATGTGCCCAGAGCGATGCTCAGCTTTTCTAGCATTTGTAAAATAAGATTGTAGAAAAACCAAGACAGAAATTGCAAAACTCCAAAACACTTCATAGCAACTTGTCCATCCTAGAAAATCAAGTTCAAACCAAACTAGAAAGAGAAAATCCTCCTGGTTTAGTAAAATAAAATTAGAGCTAAAATTCAGGAATTTATAGACACTGGCTGTAGAAGGAAGAACCCAGCAGAACTGCAGTTCCCCAAAACAGACAATGTAGGAGATTTGCCAGTACAACATAGGAAATAATTGCTTGAGATTATAATGAAAAAAAAAAAAAGCAATATTATGCAGTATTTTGAAGAGGAGCTGGAAGCTAAAGTAATAGTTAGAAAGCCCTATTGAAAAGTAGAAGCAGGACTTGAGAAAGCAGCAAACTGGAAAGGCTGTGTTTGGTGGAGCACTGCAGAACACAGCTAAAAGTCTTGATTGATTTTTACAGAGAGAAAATAATTTTTAAAGATTAAAACTGGGAGAATCCCAAATTGAAATAGTAGATCTAACGGTAAAAAGAAACACAAATAAAACTGCTACTCTACCTATTCACTGACAACATATCAGAAAAAAAAACTGAAAAAGTAAGGCCAGTACATCCTGCCTTCTTATCGAGGTTATTCAAAGACATCAAAGAGAAAAACAAGCAAAGAGGAAAATGTTGCACAAAATCACACAGAAAAAATCAAGAGGGCTGTTGATGGCTTCAGATCATAGCAGCCCATTAGAAACTTTGAAAAACAGGTCTTGTTAACTCTATCTCGGATAAAAGAAGGCAAAAGCAGTTTCAGGAATGTGACCATAACAAGTATAATGGTGAAGCAGCTCTGCAGGATTACAGCAATGACAACAGTCTTTTGTAAGGGAACTGCTGCACTAATGAAAGGTCAGTTATAGTCAATGGAAAAGCTTTCATTGGCTTCAATGGATATGGGTATTATGCCCTAAAAAAGCAAATTTATATGGACTAAATTTCTGACCCCAGTGAATTAAATAGCAAAAATTCCCTTAGATTCACTGGGGTCAAAATTTCTTCTTAGAGATTTATGTTAGTTATAGCTTGATGCCCTTCTGGATTAATAAAACAGCATTCATACTCTACATATCTCTGCATTTGTTCCAACACAATAATACATGGTGGTGATCGCACAAGTTATTGAAGCATCATTTTTTTTCAAACAGAAATAAAAAGATATTTTATCTATCTTGTTTCATTCAAGCTTTCAATGATCATGCTTTTTCACAAATCTCCCAGCCGATTGTTTGGGGTTACAATTCTACCTCATTAACCTGTTTCCCATTTTGTAATGCTTCATAGTTTCAGAAGTTAAGGAAATTTCTCATTTGTTTATCTTTGCTGTGTTTGCTGAACAAATTGCTGGTAGAATCCTGACAGATATCACTTCTCATAAATCAAGTCTCTCTCACAGAGATTATAGTTAAAATGTTCTATAGTCTAACAGCCTGTACAGTATCCAGCATCGTGGCTCAGGTGTTGGCTCAGCTGACACACAGCAACTGACTAAGCTGCACAACTTGTATTTCAGTCCTCAGAACTCACAGGTCTATCTGTACCCTGGCTCAGATACAGTCCCTAATCCTGGCTCTATGTAGCAGAGCTCTTCATTAGGATATGTGGCCTGAAAGAGCTGAGCTTCAATGTCTTACGTTTCACCGTAGAAAGACTCCTCATGCCCCCAGTTCTACTCTACCACTTGTAAGAATGGAGAAGGTGATCAGATCCTCTCTTTTTACTTATCTCTGCATAGAAACATTGCAGGGCTGAACAGCACGTCAAGAGTACGGCAGTTCATACACTTTCACCAAGCCATGAGTCCCTGCATGGGTAGAACTGCCTTTGTTCCAATGACAAGAAAATATCCTTGATCTTAAAGCTAGCAGGATACATTTTATGTTAAATCAATATCAGAAATCAAGCAGATTAATAAAATTACTGTTGTATCAGGTCTTAGCACTGTCTGTGGAACTCAGCAAGGGCAATTGACACTGGTCTCTGGAGTATGATGCTGTGCATGTGTGCTTCTCTTTGATTAACACTGTTACCCTACAGAGGTCTATAACATCCCTTTTGATTTAAGAAGTGCATTTCATGCTAAGAATGAATGGATGTCATATACTGTAGGAGTATACATCTTCCTTTTAATTGAAAAAAATTCATGATCTTCACTGAACATTAGGTACTTGGTATTACTGTTCAATGAAGATCATTAAGGAAGCAGCACGGAAGG